ATATCACAAAATACCAACAACAAAAAAAGGGTATGCAAAATATTTGCTATAAATGAACACAAAAAATAGAAAACCCTTGCAATGTAGGCGGGGTCGCTTACAAGCGTACAACACGGCGATAAGCCAAAAAGGGGTTGTTGTACCAAGCCCCTCTCCCATTCTCTATGCTATTCGTTGTTGTTGTTTTGTGTGTAGCTACAGCGATATAGCATGCATAATCGTTGTTGTTTTAGTGTATTAATTTTGGTTTTTAATAAAGCATAAATATTTGTGTTTTCGCTTTAGATACCCCCTCCCGGTTGACCCTCGAGCGTTGGCCGCCCGCTTTTATTGAAGTTTACCAAATCAAAAGTTCTTATTGAGAAACCGACACCCAGTCGCCCCTCATAGCCCCCAGGCAATTCATGTAAAATGTGTTATTAGCTTTTATATGCATATGTTGGGGGTTTCTCTCCATATATTTATGTATATATATATATATATATATATATGTGTGTGTGTTTAGTAATATCGGCTTTAGTTAGCCCCCGGGGTCTCATTGTTGCATGCCTGTTAAACTATGCGAGGCGTTTATCTAACGCTGTCAAGCGTCATTAATTGCAAATTCCTGTATGACACACAGGCAACGGACTCTATTGCACACTATATACCCTGTATCTTCGAGCTGGTTTCCTTTTATGGCACTCTCAATTTGCCTTACATATGCGGCTTGCATGTTTTAATTATTAAACAAATCAATTTGCCAGCGTCGAGACATACAGCTTAATGGCATTTTGCGCCATTTGTCAGCGCTTTGCTTACAGTGTCTTATGCAAGCGCTCGGCCCAGTTAATTAAATTTGCATAAATGCATTTTTAATAATGCGCAATCATCTACTTGGGGAGTTAACTATTACTGAGATTTTTTTGCGAACTACTATTAAAGCGGATGTATTCAATTAAAGTTTAAAATTTTAACGAAATGCTATATGCCGATTTTAATGCAAATTTCATTGAAAACAGAGTATTTTGCAATATAATATATTTCCCTATATTTCCTATGGCAGCTAAATTATATAGTGGTCCGATCCGTCCGGCTCTGACATATGTAATGACTGCAATAGACCTCTGCAAAGTTTCAAGGCGATATCTTTAATATAGACATATCTTTTACATCATTTTATAGACGCACAGACGGATGGACAGACTTGGTTGTAAAGAATATATATACTCATATAGTCGGAGATGGCTCCTACAATGCTTTACACAATACGAGACAAAATTGTAATTTATGTCGCAATTGCATAAAAATGCTAAAAGAGCTTTATTTACTTTGCCATCTACAAGAACTTGTCCTTACTGACAAAGTGGAAATGTTGCTGAAGCCTTCTTTTAGATCCAAAGTAAGCACTGAGTCAAGGTTTTGGAAGATTCGAACTCTAAATGGGTTAAAAAGATGTTCAAAGTTACATGAATTGAATAAACAACAAACATCACTCGGGCAGCAAGCGGCAGGTCGCCGGTTCAAAGCGGCTTTTCTATAAATATTTTCGGTACTATCATCTTTTCTTAACATTATAATTGTACGCTCGACGACGCTTTTTACATAAATGTATTATAAATATCTACATTTTTTTCGCATCTATTTCTTTAGTTTGCTCAAGGTCAAGTTCAGGTCTTAATAGATTTTAGTTAATCTGTGACTGGCTTTTGTACGCATATTTAATATCAGCTGGAAGCCAGCCGCATGTGTTATATAGTATTTAAGTTTGTTTTTATTTTATTTATTTTTTTTATTGATTTCACAGCATTCGCTGCGCTTCATCTGTTTCGCAGCTCTAGAGGTCAAGATACGCAACTAGCTAGAGCGAAGTCCCCTCAGCCGCCCCTCAAGCTCTGGTGCCAATGACCTATTGTAACACGTGTTAAGTGTACGAGTATCGCAGCTGTTTTTCAGTTGTTGCCATTAAATTTACTATACGCTTACTTTTTATTCTCTTTCTATTTTGTTGTGCCGGCTACTTATTGATTTTCAATTAGTTTGTTTCGTTTTCCGCTCGCAACTTTGGCTTTGATACTGGCTTTTACAGTTTGCGATTTTGGTTCGTTTGTGTTTGTCTTGTTGCTTTTCGCATTTTCCACAGCAAATTGACATACTTAATTTGCTATCGATGCCAGTCGAGTGTGTGTGTGTGTGCGGTGTGCGGTGTGTTGTGAGTGTGTGTGTATGACATGGGAAAAAGTTTTGTACTCATAAAATATGCAATTTGCTGTTTGTTTTGGCAAAGCGTATCGCAACGATTTGGCCAGCGATTGCAATTGCAATTGGTGCTCGACTTTGGCAAAAGCTCTTGGCAACTCCAGGCAACTGCCAAAAAAGTGTCAGGGTTAGACCAGAAATAGACACATGCCAATATGCTGGGTCCATAAACAAGCCAAAAGTCATGCTAAATGCGGGGAGCTCAGCCGGCTACGACTCGCTGTCTGTCGATTTAGTGGTTGGAATTGAAATCCCTTTGAAAGTTTTAAATTACACTTGACGCATTAGTCGAGGGGTTGTTTAAGAAATACTTGAGACTTCCGAGCTAAACTTTCATAGGAAGCAGTTAGGAGAAAGCAAAAAAAAAAAGAGTGCAGCAATTGAAAACTAAACAAAAGTACGTCTAGTTAAACGTTTACGGATACAGCAGAAAGAAGAATGGGAATCGTAGCGCTAGCGCGAGAGTGAAAAGTTTATAATATTGTGTTTTGCCAGTTGAACGCTTACGAATGCCGCACAAGGAGGATATGCAAATTGAAATGCGTTCTCCGAAGCTCACTTTGTGTAGATAGGAGACGTTAGGTAATTATATAAGAAGTTGATTGACATCGCGAATAAATCGATAACGAATATGGTACAAAGCATGATTGATAGTCATACCAAGTATTTAAAGCCATAACGAGAACTAAAGTTGTTAAACCACCTCGCGCCTCCTCATTTCATTTAATTGTCTATGCTCTTTTAAAATGAAGCTAATTACATTGAAAAGTTTTTGCAACAGTTGAACTGAATGCTGGTAATTAATTTATAAAATTACTCATGCGGCTAAATAATGGATTTAGTTTTTAGTGTGTTTCCATTTCTAATTGCTGTTGCTTTTCTGATGCCCTTTTGCATGGCTAGTTGATGTAGTTACCGAGGCTTTTGTTGCTGTTGTTGCGTTTTTGCGCTGCGGTTTGTCGGGGCATAAAAATGAAATTTATGCGCGAGTTAAATAAACGCGAAAAATGCATTTTGTGTATTTCGTGCCGCATTTTAATTTCATTTTCACAAATAATAATTTACATACACAGATGCAAAAATATATTCGTGAAACTATTCTGTTTGCTCGAGTGCATTTTCTATTAATTTATTTATAAATAATTATTTACAAGCAATTAACTTCATGCGTACTTTTCATTTCATTATTTAGTTAGTTATGCATTTTAGGTTTTTGTTGTGAACAAAAAAAAACAAGAGGTTCTAGTCGGGAGCTCCCGACTAGGGGATACCCTGAACCCTCTTCTTTCAACATCAAATGCATATATATATTATATTTTAGAAGCTATATGTTAAGTTTGGTGACTTTACCAAAATTGCCCAAAAACAGGATATCGATAGCGATTTTTATCGATTGCTTGGAAACAAACTAGATCTGCGCGGGAACTAGGAGCATCTACATCTAAAATTTCAAGTCTCTAGCTCTTATAGGTTCTGAGATCCTTGCGTTCATACATACGGACGGGCGGACGGACGGACAGATGGACATGGCTAGATCGACTCGGCTATTGATGCTAATCAAGAATATATATACTTTATGGGGTCGGAGATGCTTCCTTCTGCCTGTTACATACATTTGGATTTTGCACAAATACAATATACCCATATACCCATTTTTAATGGGTTTAGGGTATAATAAATCATCTCACTCGGCTTTTGTGGTTTACACGTAATGCGCAAAGTGCCAATTAATTTGAATAACAAAATGCAAATTTTAAATTCGTTTCCATGTTGATAAATAACATTTTTGATTAGCGTGTGGCAAATTTGACAACAAATTCAAATAGAATCTGGCCGAAATAGTGTTAAGCAATGCCACGCATTTAAATATTTTGTTAATTTGTTATTTATATCATGATTTTATTTTTATTGATTTATTTAGGCCAATCTTAGTGCCTTATAGATCTTATGGGATCTATATGGAAATTAAAATATACCAAATTTATTTCCATTTTTTTTGTACATTTTGCGAATAAGCATAGTTATTTTTTTTTGTTGTTCTTCAAAGTCCTCTTTGCCTGTAAATTGCTGTAAAATTCCAGAGAGCCCAACTCTCGCCGTGTAAACCTTGCAAATAAAGAAAACGTAGTTTTAATTTGTTTTTTTAATTTTTGTATATATTTTATAATAGTTTTTTTATATGTGTTTTTGTTTATTTTTCTCATATAGTTTTTCTTGCGATTTTGTAATTGTAATAATTAATTTAATAATACATTTTTTTTAGTTAATTTAATTAATTTAGTTGTTGTTGTTTTTTATATTATCATAATACATAAATACATTAAGTGCGCTAAATAATTTCTATGCTTGGATCTCCTTCTATATACACATATATATATATATATATATATATATATATATAATAATAGTAATAATAATAATAATTATTTAGTTATTAAGATTACTGAAATCTTGTTAAGAATGTTTTCCTTCCTCTTCTATATATATTTAAATATATATATATACTCTAATGTGTGTTTTAGGCCAGGCTAGAAACTAATGGCTACAAATTACAGTTTTTGCATTAGTCATATTTTCAATATATATATAATATATATATTTTTTAATTAATATATCACATTGAATTTGAAAGTGTTTTTGCAACATTTCTAGTAAATATGTTTGTTTTTTTTTTGCTTTAGTAGTTAAATTTTAATAATAAGCTTAGAGTTAAATGTGTGTTTGTAGGTATGTGTATGCGTGTGTGTGTGTGTGTGTGTGTCTGCGTGTTTGTGTTGGTTGTGCGAGACAACTACAAAACAACAACAACAACAACAACATCAACACGTGAACACCGAAGGCGCATGCGAATAGAAATGCCTACGAAAAAGTCTTTTAATTTATATATATATATGTATGTATATATATTCTATGTGTGTGTGTGTGTGCATTTTTTGTTTGCCTGACGCGCAAGCGAGCGAGCAGCTTCAAGATGGCCGCCCCTGCGCAGGAACCCTTTTGAGCGTATGTGCGTGCGAGTGAGAGAGGGACAGCTTATACCAGAAAAGCTTGGCCGCCGTTTTTATTGGTGGTGCTGCCCGCGTCGCTGCCGGCACCAGCTGCCTGCTGTTGCTGTTGTTGTTGTTGCTGCTGCTGCTGCGCGGCTGCAGCGGAAGTGGATGCTTGTGCTGTGGACTGTGTACTATTGCTGGCCTGACTGAGTCCGCTGCCGCTGCGCAAATGCACGGGCGCAGACGCTGACGTCGACGCTGCTGCTGCTGCTGTTGTTGTTGTTGCTGCTGGGTGCTGTGCGCGATACTGGGGCTGCAGCAAGCGCTGCTGCTGCTGCTGGCGTGCCAACTGCTGCAGCTGATGCGCCTGCAATTGATGTTGCTGCTGTTGGTGCTGCTGATGCGAATGATGCAGCAGCGCACTGGGCATCATGGAGAGCGCCTCATGCTGATCGTAGGCACTGTACTCCGACTCGATGCTATGATAAATATGCTCCGAGGGCGGACGCATGGCCAAAGATTCGACAACGGGTCGCATTGGTCGCGGCGAGGGCGTGGCCGTGGTAGCCGACGAATAATTGGCCTCCATATCCTCGGTGCAGTAGTAGGCGGGCGGCGGTGGCGCCTGCCGGAATATCAAGCCCGGCGAAACGGGCTGCTTGAAGCGCTCGTGATGATCCAGCGTGTAGTTATTGCCTCTCGGCGACAGCTCAATGGGTATGGCATAGCGTAGCTTCTCCCAGAAATAACGATCGCAGGTGAGCAGCCGATTCGAGGGCACCGATTTCAGATAGGGCGCCAGTTCGGCAACATCCTCGGCCTCGCTGGAAACGCTCGTCTCCTCGATGATGACCAGTTTCTGGGCCAGACCACGCAGCGCCTCATGGAATGCATTGCGAAACTCGACGCGCTGCCACTCCGTTGCCAGCAGATGACGTGTTAGCACCAAAATAATCTTCCTCGATGCCCGGGCCGCCTCCACCAGCTGCCCTCCGCTAGCCTGCGGTGGCAAGTCACGCTGTTGTATGCACAGGCGAAAGGGCGGACGACCATGCTCCAGTTCGGCAGCAATATTGCGGCATACAAACTCATAATCCTTCTCCGAGTGCAATATGATGGCATCATAGAGCTTGCCGGCATCCTCGAAGCGTGGCTCACAGACACGCACGCCATAGTGGGCAAAGAGCCACATCCGAACGCTCTCGCGGAAGACGAACACAATGATGAGCACCACGACCAGAAAGATGAGCACCAGAACTGCTGCCAACAAGGGCAAGCGATATCCCTGGGCGAGATCCGGTGTGGAGCTAATGTTGCTGGCACTGGCATCCAGCAGTTCCGAGCAGTCCGCCGTGGGCAGCTTATCCTGTCCCAACAGCTCCAATTCGCGCTTAATGCCCGCGTCCACGCAATATATATCCGGCGTATCCCGAATGACCAGCGCATTGTCCGCCACAAATTGCACCAATTCGCGCAGCTGCTGGCAGCGACAGCTCCAGCTATTCCTGCCCAGTGTCAGACCCTGCAGATTGTTGCGATATTGCAGATTCGCGAGCTGCTGCAGCGGCAGCGCTGTCAGCCGATTGTTGTCCAGGCGGAGCAACTGCAGCGAGACGAGCGGCTCAAACGTGGCATTCGCAATATGCGCCAGCTGATTGCCATGCAAATGCAGCTCTCGCAGCAGACTGAGCGAACGGAAGCTGTCCTGATCCAGGCTGGTCAGCTTATTGTGTTCCAAGTGCAGCACGCGCAGCTGTGGCAGCTGCGAGAGGCTGCCATTGGCCAAGGCAACCAGATTGGAGGCATTTAAGTACAAGGTGTGCAGGCTACGTTGTCCGGCCAGATGATTCGCTTGAAGCACTGGCAAATTGTTGCCATCCAAATAGAGCACATTCACGTCCTGTGGCAAGCGCGGCGGCAGACTCAACAAATCCTGTTTGCCGCAGTCCACAATATTGTTCGACCATGTGGCATCATGGAAGCAGCTGCAATTGTTGGGGCATATCAGCTCACACTCGCAGCTCTCGTACTCGCAACAGTGGCACGTGGCCGGGCAGTGTGTATCGTATTTGCAGAGGAAATCCGCGGAGCTCAGGCTAGACAGGGGACGCAGCGGCGCCTGGCGGCTGTGTGGCATCAGGCACTCAATGTTGGCCAGATCGACGACACGCGGATGCTGGCGTGTGGTCAGATTATTAATGCGCTGCAGCCACTCCAAGGAGCAGTCGCATTCGAAGGGATTGCCCCCCAAATAGAATTCCGGTTGGGGCTTATCCAGCGCCACCGGCGCCACACGCAGCGCATTCAGCGACAGCTTGGACAGCACATTCGCGTAGAGATCGACGCGTGCCAGCCGTGTCTTATCCACAAAGCTGTTCGGCTGCAGCTGGCTAATGATGTTATTGTTAATGAACAACAGCTCAATCGAGTTGGGCACAGAATTCGGTGTGATCTCCGTGATGCGATTGTGACTGGCATCCAGTGTGCTCACGCGCAGCTCCTCCTGCAGCTTGTAATAGTTGCCCAGCGCCTCAATATAGTTGCCATGTATATCCAACCATTTCAGATTCGAGGGTATAAATGCATAGTCGAACCAGACCAAATGATTCTCGGAGAGATTCAGCCAGAGCAGCGAGGCGAGCGTGGCAAAGATGCCATTGATGTCGGTCAGGAAATTCTTATCCAAGCGTATGGCCTCAATCTCTGTATTCCTATCGAAGGCACCACGCTCGATGCTCTGTATGCGATTCTTGGCCAGATTCAGTACGCTCAGCCGTGGCAGCTGCTGGAACATGCCCACGGTAATGTTTCCAATGCGATTGTCGATGAGCCTCAAGCCCGTCAATTGATTCAGATTGTTGAAGGTGCCATTTTTGAAGTCCGAAATTTGATTTTCGCCCAGATCCAAAGTCTTGAGCATGCTCAAATCCTGCACAGCTTCGGGCACTTCCAGCAGCTGATTCGAGCTCAAGTCCAATTCTTTGAGATCGGAACAATTGCGAAAGGCCTGCGTCTCCACAATGCTGATCAGATTGTTGTTCAACGTCAGCTTGGTCAAGACATAAAGTCCATTGAAGATGCGATTATCCAGCGTATGCAAACGATTCTCGGCCAGATTGAGAGTGTGCAGATTGTAGAGCGGCAAAAAGGCGCCCTCCTCGATGTGACCAATGGAATTGTTGCGCATGTCCAGTATTTGCAGGAAATACAGCTCCTTAAAGGTCTTGGCGCCGATGCGTGTCAACGCATTGTTCGACAGATTCAGCACAATCAAACGGATCAGGCCCGCAAAGGTGTTATTGTCCACATGATGGCTGGTCAGCTGGTTGGCGCTCAGATCGAGCACCAGCAGCTGCTCCAAACGATGCAGCAGACCCTTGGGCAAATCGTAAAGATCATTGTGATGCAAATGCAGCTCGCGCAGCTCCTTGTTGCCAGCAAAAGCGGCAGCTGGCAGCGATTCCAAATGATTGTGCGACAGATTCAGAACACGCAATGAGCTCAGACCAGCCAGTGCGCTGGGCGCCAAGGCGCTCAGATTATTGTGCTGCAGGCTGAGCGTTTGGAGACGCCTCAAACGCGAGGCGCCCCAGGCATCGGGCAGAGCGCGCAGCTCGTTGTGCGACAAATCCAGCAGCTGCAGCTCAGCGCCGCCGCTCAGCTGATTGGGCAGCGACGCCTGGCCCAGGCAGAGCTTCTCCGAGAAGCCCAAGTACTCTGCAGCGCGTATGCGATTCTGCGTTAGATTCAAAAGCTGCAGTCCGGGCATACTGCACCAGATGCCCTCCGGCAGTTGCCGCAAATTATTATCGCCCAAATGCAGTTCGCTCAGCTCGCGCAGACCCTGGAATGCCTGTGGATGCAGCTCGAGCGTGCGTCCAGGTCCCCACATTGCGTTGTGCGTCTCCAGCTGCAGTCGCTTCAGCGAGTGCAGACCCTCGAACGCATTCGCTGGGACGCGCTGCAGCTTGCAACCATCCACGCGCAGCTCAGCGAGCTTTTGCAATTTGCGGAATAGACCGCTGCTCAGTTCGCTGGCGTGCAACAAATCCGTGCTGCACTGCAGCTCGAAGCGATTCGCCGTTTCGGCCACCTGTAAGTCCAGCGCGGCGGCGCCCTGGTCCAATGCGCGTACATTGCATTTGATGTCCATGGTGGTGCGCACGAATTCCCAGGCGCACTGCTGCGCATGCGTCGCTGTTGGCAGCGCAGCCGTCAGCAGCAGCACCAGCAGCGGGAGCAGCAACAGGCAGCTTCTCGTTGTTGTTGTTGTTGTTGTTGACATGTTGCTTCAAAATGTTGTGCGTTATTTTTAGCGTTAAAAATTCCCAACTTTTATGTTATTTAATTAATTTTTTTTGGTGGGTTTGGGGTAAATTTTTTTTTAACTTTTCACTTTCTGGTTTTCATATTTGAGCGCTTTTTTGTGTGTGACGCGTAACCGTAATCCTTGTGTGTATTGTGTTGTGGTTGTGTGTGTGTGTGGCGTTTGATTTTGCTCAGCACTTGTAAATATTTTTTAGCCTCATCTAAATAACATTTGATATTTCGTTGTTTTGAGACTTTAACATTGGCACTTGGTACAAATTTCGCGTTTGCGTTTCTTTTTATTTGACTTTTCTCTTATTTCTGTGTTGCTTTGCGTTGGCCGGAGCTCGTTTTCTTAAAACATGTTAACCGCCTCGCGTTTCAACTCAAACTGATTGCTGAAGTTGCACGCAGGCGACTCCGTTGGCTCGTTGAAAATGTTTTTACGAGCGACGACGGCAACGAACACACACACACATACAGCATACAGCACACAGCACACAGCACACACAGAGGCAGCGAGACAGCAAAAGGCAGACAGACAAAAGTGGCTGTGTGTGTGCGTGTGAGTTCGTGCTCTGCTGATGCGACTGCTGCTGCTGCTGCTGCTGCTGCACTCACACACAACACACATGCACATGCACATGCACACATGTACGTGCAGAGCAAAACTCGCTCTCACATACGCTGCGCTCTTTGCGCTGCTCACACCATACACAGCATAAGCAGCGACGCTGACGTTGACGTCGACGTCGACGTCCATTGCAGTTTCTACATGTAAGCAAAACCATATGCAGTTTAGCAACATGCATGTGCGCGCTCTCACTCACTCACACATACACACGGTTCACATGTACACAAGTGTGTGTGTGTGCTCGCTAACTGGCGCTCTCGCTCTCACCAAAAGTAGGGGAAATGTTGCTTGCAGAGACACTCACACACACACAGTGCCTAAAAATCTCTCGTCTTGTTGCTGCTGAGATTCAGCTGCAAAAAGATCGTCGAGACATTATAAATTTCAAATATTTTTCTCTCTCTGCAACGATCGATTTTTATATGAGCTATACAAAACATAATTATTAAACTGAGATTAGCTAAGTTGAAGCTTATCAGCGTCTGGGGAGCAATCGATGTGCTTCCTTATTTGTTTAAATATGCATGTTATAAAGAAATATATGCATTTTATGTATACACATTTATAAATATATATACATATATATTTGTTGTTATTGAGTTTCGTATCAGGCGTCAGAAATGTCAATTTTTTTTATATTTAATGAGTTATTATGAAACAATAATTTGAATTTATTGCGCTATAAAATAATTTTTACAAAAGATTATGCATTTCATTTATATATACATATTTATAAATGTATATATATATATATATATATATATATATATATATATATATATATGTACTTACATGTGTATAACATACATTACTTCGGCTAGAATTTCAGAAAAATATTTGATTTTTGAATTTTATTTTATATTTTAATATTGTTTAATATATAAAAAATTTCATGATAGACATACATAAAAAGTTTAGAGTAATTTTTTTATTTTCCTTGCATTTATTTGAATATTTTTTAATATAATTTTATCATAATTGAATTTATTTTAATTATATTCATTTTAATTCTCTTTCCCCATGATGCATCTCTGTACTTTATATAAAAGTCTTATTATCTAAAAAGCCAAATAATAATTAAGCACTCCCCTGCGTTACCCGAAGGGTTAAACATTTCACACACTCAAACACACACACACGCACACGCACACAACTTTCTCGCTAACCGGCGACAGTCAACAGGCTGTCTTGCAACATTTCGTGTGCATGTGTCGTCGGCTGTTGCCCACTCGCACGCCCCTTTTTTATCCTTTCGAACTCGTTGCATGCATCGTGTTGCAATACGAGTCTGACCCCCACATTCAGTATGTTGCTATTGCCATGTTGCATGCCACACGGCTTTAGACCGACTTTACTTCTCCAGTTAAGTTTGAAGTTTAACCCATAAAATGTTCTTTCTATTATCGTATGTCCAATATTTTCGTATATTTTAGAAACCATTCTCTTATATACGCTGCGAAATTCTGGCATTTCTTTGAACTCTTTCTGGAGCAGCCGCGCAACACTTTCCCGTTTGCAATTTGGCAAATGGCTTTCATTTTTGGCGCACAGTATTTTATTTAGGGCTGACTTGAATAGCTTGGAATTAGGATATATAAGCTGAAGAATGGGCTTATGAGGAGTTCATATAATTAATAGTAAATCACAGTTAAGTGCATTTAACTTGAAAATATTGTGGCTGTATAGATGTACATAAAGCTATCTATAGTTGTATTATATATGAATTAAACAGAAGAAAACATTGCTTAAAATGCTGATAACTTAGCATATTTATTGCATACGACTAGCTACAATAATCAAAAGAATTTATCAATTCTTTTCTTAGAAAATTAAACTCTAAACTAATCGAGTATAATTTCCATAAATCAAGTGCGTCAGAAAGAACTAGAAGTACTTGCTGGTCGATTTGTCTGGATCCTTATGATCATTTTATTCTTAAAAAGCTTCATATTCAAATAATGCGTCCTTTTGAATATGATCTATATATTTATCGAAATTTTTGTTTTTTTTTTGACAATGTATGGGAAATATATTTTATTAGAGAAAATTTTTTGCTAAGCTTAAAATTTAATTAACCTTTCTCTATTACTATATTTGATTAAAGTTAGGAATTGTATTTATTCTGTTTATATGTTTGCAATAAATACATGCTCGTGTTTTTCAGAGTCAGGTAAGTATTAACATTATTGAGACACGCCCACTAGGGGGTAATTAAGCCTCGAAAATATATATCTCCTGCAGATTTAATGCTGAAGTCAACAAGTTGTCGAGGTAGACCACTGATGACCTCTAAGAATTGACCTTGAATTGCACGTCCACTAAGTCCTCTCTAAACATTGACCTTGAAATTCACGCTTTATTGGGATAATTAGTTTCAAAATTGGGATGACCAAATTTGATTACTTGAGGCAATATCTTGACAATTAAATGGCAACAGAATTGAAGAAACTAATATGCGTTCGAATAATGAAAAATTACCTTCTTTTTAGCTTAATTTCTATAAAGTTCATACCATATTCTACTCTTTATAGATGTATTCTTTACCGCCTACAAATTGCCACCGAATTCTTAACCAACTCTTTCTCTTTATTCTGCGAGTTTATAATGTTATTTTGCGTGTCTGCTCACTTTCCTGGCTGTGTGTACAGATGTGCCTGTGTGTTCGGAGTCGTAATATTCATGTTGCATTTAGGCATTAGGCGATGTGCCCCATCATTTTGGTGCTTAGCTGCGCGCGAGAATTATAGAAATGTGTTCGCTTTGCGAGTAGTCAGCAAATTTACGAGTTGCTACCGTGTGCCCATTTATGTCATATGCGAACAACTGCCGCGCAGCTCAACAATCTTTCAGATACACTACCTACCCAACCCCCTCGTACCCTTGGCATAACTGCAAAGCTTAAAATATTGCATATGAATGTTGCATGCGACGCCAGCAACAAACATTAACGAGCAGCAGCAGCGGCAGCAGACAGCAGCAACATCATCGCTGCCGACATCGACGCTGACGTCAACTGCGACAGCAGCAACATCGTCGACGTCGTCGTCCTCTGCTAGCAACATTACGGTTTGAATGCTATTATTATGCCATTTTTAATGCCTTTTACATTCACGCGCGCAACAAGCGGCCAGCGTTAACTGCGTTGACTGCGCTGCCAGCGTCGCTGCTTTGTGGGCCACGTTTTTATGCTCTGCTTCGCCTTAGCAAATGTTTTTTTCTATGCCCTCTAGTCTTGGCGTGCACATGGGTATACTCGGCGTTTAAGACAAGTGGAAACTTCTTCATATCTGAAGAATTCACAAAAAATACTAAAATAAGCTTACTTTTGTCCATGTTAGATTATATATGTATAGAATAGCTTCTTAGCATATGGGAAAAGTTATTTTACAAAAGAACGCATGGCGACACATTTTCCAGTGCTTAGTCTTACATAGAGCCAAGTTTTCTTGGAGGATAAGTCATATTTTTATTAATTTATTTTAAACGAATATTGAAAGAAACTACTATTTTAATTTCTTATTGTTAAGTAATATTTTAAATTGTTTATTGGGTGCTGCAAAAATTCATTCTATATATTTATTGTAAAACATTACAAATTATTTTATACGATATATATAAAATTCACTATATTTCTTGTAAAGTCTTGTTAATATATTTATTTATTTAATTGATTTAATAGATGTAAATATCTCGAAATTTACTAAATTAATCTATTGCTAAGTAATATTGCAAGTTAAAATTATTTTATTTATTTATTATTAAGAAACGTTAAAAATAATTTGTAACACTTATTTTTTTTTTAAATTATAGTATCTCTGAGTCGAGCACTCTCTGTGCCATTTCTATTGCTACAAATTTAGTTACTGGCTATTTAATGCCGTTTTTAGTTACCTTAGCTGTGCTAATTTTAGTGTGTTGATTTTTGTAATATTATTTTTTGCTGCACTGAAATCAAAAAAATACCATACGTTAACTTAATTTGACATAATGCATGTAATGCATGTTGTTGTTTCTGCATGTAAATGTCAGGCCCAGCACGCCCACCTGTCATATGTGCAGCCTGTGTGTGTGTGTGTGTACTTATGTTTTTGGCTGTCGACTTATGCCACTTAAAATTACATTAAAAAACTTCTGTCGACTGCCAAGCCTGCCCAGCACATAATACAACCCGCCCACCGCCCACTCATCTTACATTCCAACTCACACATACACTCGCGAGCTGCTCACTCCCTCTTGTTCCTTTATTCACTAATTCACCCCCCTTTTGCTCAGCCCGTGGCTAGTGTAAACTTTGCACAGCTTTTGGGAGTTTACGTTTCTGCCTTTGCTGCTGCTGCTACTATTTTAGTTCTCATACTCTTCCAAAGGGTAGTATAACTTGGTCAGGGAAAGTGTTGTAGGAGTTAACTACGAGTTCATAAAGTACAAATTCAAGTACAGATTTTGTTTAAATTAACTTTTTTAATTGAACTTTACTTTTAACAAGTTTATTTACAGCTTAATCTTAAGTAAATACCAAGATTCTTGTATTTAGAGAACTGTTTCCTCTCTGTTTATATGAATAATTTTGCTCCCGCTATCCACATAAACTGCGAATTGTTCTTGATCAAGCTTGGCATAGATTTAGCTCTTTTTTGCAAGCAGTGCATATATCGAGAAAGGATCGTATCGTTATGTTTTATAGCTAATAAAGGAAATATCGATGAAAGACAAGTTCTTTTGCTTGT